CTACTACTACGACGACGACGATGACGACGACGACTACTACTACGATGACGACTACGACTACTTCTTCTGGTACTACTACTACTACTATTATTATTATTATTATCAGTTTTCTTTTTATATTACTATTACTGTTACTGTGACTGTTACTATTGCTATTCTTATTTTTCTTGTTACTATGACTATTGTTGCGATAATTAGTATTACTATCACCACTCAACATGCTCTTGCTACTGCGACTGCTACTGCTATTACACAACCTTATCAACGACAAACCCGCAAATTCGGTTCCAGCAAAGGGTTTAGCGCGTAAGTGACGTTAAAGTCGACATAGCCAGATCAAGTCCACCCCCCGATGGACATTCTTGGTGCATTTCGCAAGTGGCTGGCGACTAAGAGCCCTTACGACCCCTGGAATAGCCCCATGAAGAAAGCTTTTCAACCCTCCGTTGGTACGAAAGTCTGTCTAACAGCATCAAAAGCCCTAAAGCCTGTGGGAAAGGCTCCCAGAAACTCTCAATCAATTGAGGCACCAAAAGCTTTGCAAAACTTTCAGGAAACTTTGTCAAGAATCTAAACCCTAAGCCGGCTTCAGACTGCCTTGACCAGCCGTTTCCAACTATTGTAGCTTTCGCGCAGCCCTGAAACGCCTAGGAAGAGCTCTTACTGATAATGCCCGGAACAACTTGTCATCCAGAAGCTTGTATCTTTATAACTCAGGGCTCTAACGTGCAGAGGTATGTAGGTATGCCTTCGCGAAAGTTCCGCCATGGTGGCGCGAAAGTTAATTTTTCATTCGTGAAGAAGGTCATTCCCGGATGAAGCAATCTAGATCAACAACCACATGTTGACATTACCTCGATCCTCATTGCTTTGGGGTGGCTGTCTGCCGCAGGTCATGCAGGCCATCCGGCCTGATGGCAAGGAGCAGACTCCCTGGCTTCGGTCAGAAGTCGGTCACATCACCGTTTGTGCACAAGGGTGTGTGGAGCTAGGTCTCGCCTTTATGGTGGACTCCTTGCGGTGGCCATGGGCATCTTGACTTCACAGCGCATCAAAGCCATCGCACGACATTTGGGTGGCCAAGTCTTTTGCCGAGGCTGGTGGCACGAGGTCAGCGGAGATGCACAGAAGTTCAAGAATGCGTCCAGGCCTCAAGCGCAAACGCGCTTCATACAGCACTGGAAAGCTCACCGCTATGCTTTCGCAGTTGCTTGTAGCCACAAAGAATCAGGCTCGGGCGTGCTGCCATTACGGCGTTGCGGGCTTAATGCAGCACGGCGCGAGCCTATGATTCACAATACATCAAGAGATCTTTGAAGCACTGTTGGGCCCAAACTTTGTGCCGTTTCGCCTTGCTCAAGTTGCAACATCAAAAGCGGAGTGACGATGGCAATGCATGTAATCCAGCATCTAGTGTCAAACTAAGAGGGGGTCACCCGAGAGCGCTCAAGCGTGGAGCCATGGCTGCTCCGCAGGTTTACGGCCAAGGGCAGAATGACCCCGCTGCGGATTTGCAGCGACAGATGGCCACGGCGGCCGCACAGACCGGTGCTCGTGCAGCTGCAGAGAGGGGGAGAGCCGGAGTTTACGAAGTCACGGCCTACATCCAGGAGAACCCAGCCAGTCTGAAGACCATGTGCTTTTGCATCGGCCTGCTACTCATGATTTTCAGCATCGTGACCCTCATCAACCCCTTTGCAGTCTTGTTCATGCCCAGACACTATCTGGCCAACATCTACAACATCATGTTTGGGGTGATCATCTGCATCTGTGACGGCAAGGAGTCCTGGATGCGAAATTGCGGCGATGTCCAAGCGAAGCTGTTCCAGAAGGCCTTCATTCTGGCAAACCCGGCAGGCCGTGCGATGTTCTACATCTATGTCGGGACGATGACGATGCTTTTGGTGCCAGGGGATGGTTTGTGGATGATCATCTACATCATTTTAGGGTCGGCCCTGTGCCTTCTGGCGTTGACCATGCTCTTCATGCAGTACTGTGGTCATCTGTGTGGAGGGCGAAATTATGGACACATGAACACTCAGAATTCTGGCCAGGTCTAGCAACGTCTAGCAATGCACAAGTCTCGCGCTCCATCGATGCATGGACGCCAGGACTTCTGATGCAGAGTTTGACGTAGTCTCTCTACCTGCCAACGCCAAGAGCACGGAAAGAAGCTGAATGTGTAGCCATCTATCAGCGGGTTGCAAAAATCGCTTCCGCGTGCGTCGCACTGGCCATGCAGTATTCAGTAACAGCCGTTGGTAGCCATCGCCGTCAGAGGTGTAGAGCACAGTAGTGCAGCTATTTCTGAGGCGGAGAGAGCTGGCAGCGGTAGATGCCGCGGTGAGGTGTCCCTGGGTTCGGGTCTCCTCACATCCGAGGTCACACGCAACACTGCGTCATATGTTATGTGCATGTACAGATACACACATGGATAAAAAGGTATATGTGTTGATATACATGTTATACATGCATATATATATATATACATACGTACATACATACAGATACATCAGAAGTGTATAGATGCTTCTGCAGCTGAAGCTTCGGTAGGGACTAAGCGACGAAGCCGACCGCCAGGCCGATGCCTGTCCGCAGGATACGTGAGCTTTGGGATGCCAAGGAGGCGGACCTGAAGGCGCACCCAGTTCCCACACACTCCGGGTTTAGGACGTAGGGTTTAGGGATGCCTTTAAATACTTCAGGACCGCCTTTTGTAAGGAGCTCGTCAGAATCAGAAGCTATTCCGTATTTAACAGGGAGGGAGCCTCTTGGTGCGTTTGAAATTGCGCGGGTGTGACTCTGTAGCCCCAGGCGTCTGGAGCCGTGGCCATCGACCTGGATCCTGTCCCAGGCCGACCCCTTGTCTTTTGATAGCATTTGTCTGAAAAGGCACTTGCACAAGATCTCCCCATTCCAGACCTCAGCCTCAACATGCCTCAACTAAGTCAACACATCACTTTTGTATTTAGAGGCTCGTGAGCGGCACCAGCTTGCAGGCATGCTGGATCACTAGCATCTGTGAGATTCCCTCGCATGGCGACTGATACTGGCTCTCATGCCTCCCGCATTTTTCAAAGTACTGAGCGCGTTGGATTTTGCGCCGCCCGCAAACATCCCTCTGCACTCAACAACTACTCTTAGGCGGGTGGCTAAAAATAGTTGAGGAGCGCAACCCAGCAGGCACTGAACTAAGAAAAACTAGAAGACATGTGGCCCGAAAGCATCATTTGCGAAGAGTTTAACGCTATGTAAAGTCAGAGAGTGAAGTACGAAAAGTCATAGAGTCAAGTGCACAGTTTGAGTACAGAGAATCTAGTGCATAGAGTCATATTGTCACAGAGTGAA